CATTCAGTTCCATGTGCCGGTCATGACACCCAAAGTTTCCTTCTTTATTTATTGCTTTTTTTCTTTGCTTCCTCCTTCCTCTGCCTCTCTACCTTAACTTAATGACTTGGGTGGAGAGATTGTATGGTTAATCTTTGCTGAAAGATGGAGATACTTTTTTCAATTAACAAGTCTTGTTGGGCTTTTGATGCTCAAAAGTTTGTTCAAACTTACCCAACTTACTATTTTGGGGTCCAGAAATAAACATCATTTGCAACTAAGTAAAGCTCTTGACTCTCTATTTTTTAAACTTTTACCTCAAAATAAGCTATTCTTGCCTGAAGTCATCTCTTTCTTATAACATCTTGCTAAAAGCAACAGAGTAGCACATAACATTCTGACATTTCCCAACAACTTCCTTAAAAGCTAGTCTCAGGAGACACATATTCCAGCTTCCAAATTGTCACAGTTTTGTTAAATATTTCCCGTAGTGTAATGAGAATTTCCAGCTGCCCAACCTGCTGTATCTATTTTCTTGACTCTGGTTACCTGACGTCTAAGCCAGTGCTATACATTTCATGTTTGTTGTTAACGCAGAAGCCTATTTCTGGTAAACTTTCTCTTTTAAGTGGGATGGATGCTGTTGGTTGTTGTACAAAACATCTCCAAAACTTCAGTAACGTAAAGCTTTATTTCTTGCTGCCCTATCGTCCTGCTGTCCAGATTTTCTACCTCTTCCTCTCAGGAATGATCTACTATGGGAGAATTGGCCTGTTTCTTTGTTTATGTGCCTTCAGGTCTCACTGACAACATTTCTGTGGCTTGAAATTACTTGCACCTTCCTTCCAGCTAAGTTATTTCCTATGGGATGGGGTTTCTTGTCACCCATGAAAATCTTGAACACGTGGACGCAGATTTGACAAGAAGGTTGGGTGAATTTGCAGCTGCCCATCTCTGGTATGCTTTAACATTTTTAACCCCGAGCTCTCTAAAGATGAACATGAAAATTTTATACCCTCCCACTTCCTTCACCTACCAGTTCTACCATTTTGGGGTGGGAGATGGATTAGTCATTATGCATGTCATTACTTTTCTGTCCGTAGAATGAAATCCTGACAGAAGAAAGCAGGAAGAGGGAAGAAAGAAAGGGGGAGAAGGAAAGAGAAGCAGCAGATAAGAGCCTGGCTTACTTCCCTAACCCTGTAACTAGACGCTGATCTGCTTTCTGACAGGGGCTTTATGTATAAAACTCCAGTACTGGACGTGGTGATTTGTCCAGATCATAAACCTAATCTATGTTCCTCGATGTTTGCTGAGGAGCACAAGCCCTGGGGTCAGGTTCGTTGTTCAAGTCCCTACTCTGCCGGTTGCCATGAATCTTGGACAAGTTATTTCATCTCTCCATGCCTCAGTCTCATCATCTGAAAAACTGGGAAACTAAGAATGCATACGTCATAGGGCTATTGTGAGCCTGAACTGAGATAATAAGTATAAAGGGCTTAGAATAATGCTGGGCCCATAAGAAGCTTTTAATAAGTATTCATCACAATTTTGAGACATCGAATAGCAGAAGGGTTGAAAGTGGGATTCTGAAGCCAGACTAACTATTTTAAATACCTGTTCTACTAATTTGTCCTAATTTTTCCAGGGCGACCTTAGTTTCTTTACGCCAGTTTTTACATGACAAACGTTCAACAAATACTAATGTTACCTAAGAAGGCTAAATGAATGAACTCTTTAAAAGGTCAAATTCGTCCAAGGACACAAACTAAATTGTTTAACAATTAGCACTGTCTTAACAATGATAATTCTACTACACCCGATTTGGGTTTGTGGTCTTGTTTTTCACATTGGTATTAACGTGAGATGTTGCATTAGACGGTCCTAGTTTCTACACCAGAGGAGACGTCTATGTCCTATCTTTCTTTTCTATTTCCCACCCCACCACACCATGCAATTCAACTGATGAGAAAGCACAGTGTCAGAAGGAACTCATATCAATACATCTCACAACAGAACATAGCAAGCATTTGGCTAATCAGCCACGTCTTACAAACAGAAGTATTTGGGAAAGGGGATGGGTTGACAACATCTTACAGGGAAGGAAGAATTGGATTTAAGAGCTTTGTGGTGTCACCTCTCACATTGGTGAAATCACCCAGGAGACATAAAAAAGTAAAATAATATCCTAGGTAACTGCACGGCAGTTTCTCATATGAGAGACTTTTAGTGACTTATTGCTGTTTGCAGTAGTGTTTCATAGTTTCTGACAGTATAACGCTTGCTAAGGAAAAAAAAAAGATACCACCACCCACATTTTGTCTGGAGTTAATATGTATTTTTCCTCTTGTCAGAGTGTGGGAGGCTCTCTGTTTATATAATTACAGCTTTCAAAAATCACTTAACAAGACATGAGCAAAGAAGTGGAATTGCATGTGGGGTACGCGGATGACACTGAATCTGTCAGGTCTATGGGATTTTTGTACAAAAACTGAGATGTTTTTCGACTCTCACTTGGATGGAGCTGTGCTTTTCTGGAGGTTGGGAAACAGCTTTTCCATATTGCTGACAATCTTGACAATGGTCCTGATGAATTATCTGTACTAGACATGCTCCCAAACTAACTGAATTCACGTCTGTCAAGGAGATTTGGAGAGAAGCAGTGAGCTGTGTCTTTTCCTGCAGCCTGGGGCACCATATATCCAAGGAGATTAGGAGGAGGAAGGCAAACCCTGACCAAACTTGCTACTCTCTCTCTCTTCCTCTCCGAATGGGCTATCTTTGCCTCATAGGAAGATGGAAGAAGGGGAATATGACGAGTGGGAAGCCATAATGGAATTACACTTGTGTTTGTGAGGGGCGAGTATTCACCGTTCCTTTTTTTTGAACAGGTAAAAATGATCATTGGTGTCTTCCTTGACATCGTTTCTGTTTTTTTTTTTTTCCTTCTCACTCTTGATATTTTAAAATTTATTTTCATTTCCTTTTTATTTCTTCATAGTTTTACTGAGGTAAAATTGATAGACATTAAACTGTACATTTTGAAAGTATACAACTTAAGTTCTGACATATGTATACACCCATGTGGCCAATCATTAAAATCAAGAAATAAACATTTCCATCATGCCAAAAGTTTCCTTGTGCCTCCTTTTCAATCGCTCTCTCCTGCTCCTCACAGCTTTCCGCCCGCCCTTCCACAGTACCCCACCCCATCTCTTGGCAGCTTGTTACTCTGCTTTCCGTCTTGATAGATTGGTTTACACTTCTTAGAATTTTATAGAAATGGAATCATCCAGAATGCACTCTGTTTTTGGAAGTTTTTTTTTTTTTTCCACTCAGCATAATTACTTTGAAATTCATCCGTCTTGTATGCATTTATTCTTTCCTTTTGTTGAGTAGTATTCCATCGTATGGCTGTATCACAATTTGTTTTTTGATTCAACTGTCGGTGGATTTTTGAGTTGTTTCCAAACGTTGGCCACCAGAAATACAGATGGTATAACGTTTGTGTATGAGTCTTTGTGCAGATGTATGCTTTCATATTATCCTTGAGTAAATGTCTAAGAATGGGATGTCCGAAGCACATGGCAAGTATATTTTTAACTTTCAGAGAAACTACTATTTTTCATACTGGTTCTACCATTTCAGATTCTCTTAGCAGCACTGAGCATTACAGCTCCTTCACATCACCCGCACTTGGTATCTGTGGTCAGATGTTTTAACTTTAGCCTAATGGCATGGGGTGTTATAACCTTGTGATTTTCATTTACAACTCCCCAAAGACTAATGATATTGACTATTTTTTTCTATGGGCCTGTTTGCCAACCGTATATCTGTTCATATCTTTTGCCCATTTTTATTGAGTTGTTTTCTTCATACCAAAGTTTATTTTCTGTTTTCAAATCTGTTATTCTATTTTTTTAATTAATATGCAAGAAAATTGACTTCTTGGGGCAAAGTTCTATGCACGCTGTCACATGGATGATTTCATGTAACCACTACCACAATTAGGATACAAAATGTTTCCATCACTGCAAAAACTACCCCCCCCCCCCATCTTCCCCTTTGCAGTCAATACCCTGCCCCATCCCAACCTTGGTTCTGTTCTTTATTTTACCCTTTGGTCTTCTCAGAATTGTCATAGAAATTCTACTATGCAGTGCCGCATTTTGAGGCTGGCTTCTCCCACTCAGCATAATGCCTTTAGGATGTATCCAGTTGTTAGGGGCACCCGGGTGGCTCAGTCAGTTGAGCTTCCAACTTTGGGTAAGGTCATGATCCTGTGGTCCACATTGGGCTCTGTGCTGACAGCTCAGAGCCTGGAGCCTGCTTCAGATTCTGGGTCTCCCTCTCTCTCTGTCCCTCCCTCTCTCTCTGTCTCTGTCTCTCTCTGTCTCTCTCTGTCTCTCTCTCTCTCTCTCTCTCTCACACACACACACACACACACACACACACACACACACAAATTAAAAAAAAATTATCCAGCTGTTAAGTCAGTAGTTTCTTTCTTTTTGTTGCAGGATAGTATTACATTGCATCAATACACCACAGTTTATTACGTGTTCAAGGACATTTGAATTGTTTCTAGTTTGGAGTCATTATGAATCCTTTTATGTACAGAATTTTGTGGGAACGTAAGTTTTCACGTTTCTAGGAAAAATACCTACAAACAGGACTCGTTGGTTTTATAGTAAACTCATGTTTAAAATATACATAAAGAAACTACCAAACGCTTTTTCCAGAATGACCGCCCCGTTTTGCATTTAACATTGTATGTGAGATCTAGTTGCTCATCAGCACTTAGGATTGTCAGGATTTTATTTTTTAGCCCTTTTTTTATTTTTATTTTTTTTATGTTTATTTATCTGAGAGAGAGAGAGAGAGAGAGCGAGCATGCAAACAGGAGAGGGGTAGAGAGAAGAGAGATAGAAACCTAGGCAGGCTCCACATTGTCAAAGCAGAGCCTGATGCAGGGCTTAAACCCACAAACCATGAGATTATGACCTGAGAGGGGCAGGACTGGTGACCATGCTGAGCAGATAGGCAGGACTGGGAATTTGCTCTCCTTCTGGGACGGGGCTATACAGTGAGCTCCTCATCCAGTATGACCCGATGGCTGGGGATCCAATCAGGTAGAACTGCCAACCCAGCTCCCTGGCCTGACAGGGCCACTGGCCCAGCTCTAAAGATAGGTAGACTGATGACCGGGATGTCTGGTCAGGTGCCACTGCAAGCAGGAATGTGATCCACCAAAATCTGAGTGTTGGTTGTTGTAAACCCCATCCCCCCTTCTCCATTTCTATCTGATCCCTAGCGGTCAAGCTCTATAGATTTCTCCAGTGATCCCGGAGAGGTGAGACAGGAGTGAGCCTGCCAGGAAGGAAGCCATAATGCTGACAGAGCTGAATGTCCACTCTGGGGTTTCGTTTCCCACTGGAAGAACTATAACCCCAGGAGGGCCCTCTCTGTGTGGTGCTTTGCCAGCCTGGAGGAGGGATAATGCGGTCACAGGGAAACTGCTCCTCTTACCTTTTTATAATGCAGTCCTTCTCAGCTCTTGTTTTTTGCGGCGGGGTGTTTTTTGCGGCGGGTGCTTCAGCACCATCTGTGGGTTCTGGGATTTCCATAGTTGGTGTCCTGTGTATAGAGAGTTGTTAATTAGTCTTCTTGTGAGAGGAATTGAAGTCAGGAATGACCTATGTCACCATCTGGATGCTTTCTTGAGTTACCTTAGGTCATTTGTGTCTTTCCAAGAATTTGATCAATTATGTTGATCTCAAAAGAATCATTTTTGTTTCATTGGTTTGATTTATTGGTTTCAGTTTTCTAGTTTTTTTTTTTCTGCTATGATATTTATTATTACCGCTTACTTTGGCTTTAATGCAGTCTTCTTGTTCGAATACCTTAAAGTTGATCCTGAGGCCACTGATTTGACACTTTATGTTTTTTTCTATAATAGACCATTAGTTCTATAAAATTTCCTCTAAATACTGCTCAGTGGAATACTGAAAATTTTGCTATGCTATGTTTTCATGTTCATTCAGTTCAAAATGCTTTCTAAATTCTCTTTAAAATTTTCCTTTAGCCCATGCAATTCTAGAAGTGTATTATTTATATTCTAAATTCCTTGGGATTTTCCAAAAATATTTCTGTTGTTAATTTTGAGTTTGGTTTTGTTGTGGTCAGAAAATATACTTCGTGATACCTGAATATTTTCAAATGTATTGATAGCTTTGTTACAGTCTAGAGTACGGTCAATCTTGGTTAATATTCTATGTGCACTTGAAAAAAAACCAACAATCTTTGTAGTGTCGCTTGGAGAGTTCTAAAAATATCAATTAAGGCAAATTTACTGATCAGCATTTTTTATGTCTTCTTTTTACTCACTTTCTGTTTAATTGTTGTATAAACTATTGACAGAGGGATATTGCAATATTTGACCACAATTGTGGTTATGTCTGTTTCTTATACTTCTATTTTACTTCGTGTATTTTGAAGCTCTATTGTTATGCACTAAAGTGTTGTTATGCTCCCTTGATGAATTCTTACATTTATTATTAAGAAATGACTTTTTAAAAAAATTCCTGGTAATATTCTTTCCTATGAAATTCACTTTATCTGATGTTATATAGCCATTCCAGTTTTATTTGACAATTGTTGCTATATCTTTACCTAGTCTTTAAATTGTAACAGGTTTTTATCTTTATATTTCAGTGAATTTCTTGAAGGTGACATAGAGTTGAATCTTGCTGTCGGATTGAATCTGACAAGCTTTGTCTTTTAACCGCGTGTCTAGATCATTTGTTACAATGTGTTTACTTATAGGGTTAGGTTTGGATTTACCATCTTGGTACTCCTTTCTATTTGTCATGTTTATTCTTTGCTCTCATTTTCCTTTCTTTAAAACATTTTTTGGGTCGGGGCGCCTGGGTGGCGCCGTCGGTTAAGCGTCCGACTTCAGCCAGGTCACGATCTCGCGGTCCGTGAGTTCGAGCCCCGCGTCAGGCTCTGGCTGATGGCTCAGAGCCTGGAGCCTGTTTCCGATTCTGTGTCTCCCTCTCTCTCTGCCCCTCCCCCGTTCATGCTCTGTCTCTCTCTGTCCCAAAGAAAATAAATAAACGTTGAAAAAAAAAATTAAAAAAAAAACCAAACATTTTTTGGGTCAATTAAGTAATTAGTATTATTATTATTTTTTAATATTTGAGAGAGCACAGGTGAGGATGGAGAGAGAGGGGGACAGAGGATCCGAAGTAGGCTCTGTGCTGACAGGCTGACAGCTTCCAGCCCGATGTGGGGCTCGAATTCACAAACTGTAAGATCATGACGGGAGCTAAAGTCCTATGCTCAACTGAGCCACTCAGGTGCCCCTAATTAAGTACTCTTTATAATTCTATTTTATCTCTTTCTTTATCTCTTCAGTGACAACCCTTGTTTTGTCCTTTTAGTGATTGCTTCAGGGTTTATAGTACACAGCCTTAACTTATCACAGTCTTTGTGAGACGTTAAACAGTTTGTATATGATAAGAAACCTAAAACTTCATACTTTCATTTCTTCACTCTTGATATTTGTAATTTTATTGCTATATATCTTACTTCTAAATATGTTACAAATTTCATATTACATTATTTTTGTATAAATATTGAATTATCTTTTTTAAATATTTAAATAAAAAAATTCTTATTTTTCCATGGAATTACCATTTTTTGTAAACTTTATTTTTTCATGTAGATCCGTATTTTCAACTGACATTTTTTTTTTCCTTCTAACTGACGGGTTTCCTTTAGCATTCTCCACACAGCAGATTTGCTGGTGATAAATTATCGCATCTTTTATATGTCTGGGAGAGCCTTTGCCTGTCGTTTTGCAAGATGTTTCATTGGATATAGAATTCAAGTACTTTATCCGTGTTGTTCCTGTTTTCCCACTTGTAAAGTTTCTAACAAGAACCGTCTTGTTCTTTTGTATGCAACATTTCTTTTCTCTCTGACCGCTTTTATGTCTTTCTCTTCATCCCTGGTCATTAGCACTATGCTTACAATGTGCGCTGTGTAATTTTCTTCATGTTTCTGAAGCATAGGTTTGTTGAACTTTTTGAATCTATGTTTTATAGGTTTTCTTTATTTTTTTAATGTTTTATTTTGTGTTTTTTTTTTTTT